AACAGGGTGTTGACCAAACACTGTAAAGCTAAACATAAAAAGGACCATATATAAAAAGAACCAAACTGCTACACTTTAGTTGGGTGAATCTGTTTCTCCCAAGGGCATGGATTAGCCATTCTGGAAGGGCTTCATAGGTATGCTACGGTTGAACAAATAAATAAATATATTGTAGATAGTAAGTGCCAGATTCCTCACTGCTGCAGACAGAAATTACACATAAGCAAAGAGGAAATTCCAAAATGAGCCGTATAGCACTGAGCTGGCGGTATCAGCATTAGCTCGTTTTAAAATATATATACAGATTGCTATGGACCAAATAATTCATAGACTGAAGTCCTAACCCACAATGTGACTATATTCGGAGAAAGGCCTTTGAGGATATAACTGAAGTTAAATGAATCTTAAGGATGGGGCCCTAATCCAAGATGACTGATGTCCTTATAGGAAGATAGAGAAAGACTTGGACAGCTGCAAGTCAAGGAGAGAAGCCTCAGAAGAAACCAACTCAGTCAACACCTTAATCCTGCACTTCCAGCCTCCAGAACTGTGAGAAATAAATTTCTGTATTGAAGCCACTCCTTCTGTGGCATTCCATTATGGCAGCGCTAGCAGACTAGAGAGATACAGAAAGGAATCTAGATATGTGTGTATATTTAGGACATATTTCCTTGTTCTGTCTGCTGAGAGGGACTAAGGCTGTAACCCCTAGTAGCAAGTAGCACAACTAAACCTCTAATCTTGGCTTCTAAATACCATTCTCAATCCAAGGAACCAGGGATCCTTGGAGAAGCAAATGATTGCAGGCCTGGGGCAGGGAAAATATAAGATAATCCTGAAGCACTGCGTGGTGCCAGAAAATAAGGAGATGCTAAAGGAAAAAATTCAGAAAGAGCTCCCAATGGCCCAAGTGAAGCAATCTGAAATTGGAGCAACAAAATAAATTGTAGTGATAGATGGCAATCCAAATAATAAAACAAATATCCATAAGTTCATACTGATGAAAGGAGGAAGGAAGGAAGGAAGGAAGGAAGGAAGGAAGGAAGGAAGGAAGGGAGGGATGGAGGAAGGAAATGAAAAGAAATGGAGAGAGAAAGGAGAAGGGACAATTCTTTTTTTAAAAAGAATTCCAATTAATAAATGTAGAAGGAATGAGTGAAGTCATCATTAGAACACCACAGTAATTATTGCTTAAGATGAAATCCACCAATGGATGCTAAAATTAGTGAGCAAAAGGGTAAGGAAAAACAGGATATTTGCATGGTACTCCAAGTATTCCCTCGCCTCCCCCCCCCCCACCAAATACTTGTTAATGACAAAGTATCTCCCTCCTAATTCTTGTTAATTGTGAAGGGAAAAAATATGTAACTTTGTAGTGGAGTACCCTGGCCAATACCACTTTGACCAAGTGTTCAAGGTCAACATCACCAGTAATAAGACATCAATTTCATGGGCCCTCCAGGATGATGTGCTATAAAAGGCTCATTCTTCTTATGTATTCTTCCCCAAAATACATAACTCTATCTAATCATAGTAAGACTTCAGACAAACCCAGATTAGAGGCATTCTACATAATACCTCACCAAAGCTCTTCAAAAGTGTCAAAGTCATGCAACAGAAGGAAAGACCAAAGAACTACTACAGATATAAGGAGGTTAAGGACACTTGACAATAAAGTACAACATGGGGTCCTGGACTGGACCCACGAACTGAATAAGAACACTGCAGGAAAACTGATGAAATCTGAATAGTTTGAAGTTTATTTAATAGTATTGAACAAATGCTAAGCTTTGATAATGAATGGCACCATGGTTATGTAATACGGGAACATGAGAAAAAGTAGGTGAAGAGTATATATGAGCTATCTTTCTTATCTTTGCAACCCTTCCTCCTGGGATAAAGGGAAAGGAAACAGAAAGCAACACTAGGTGTTCTAACCATGGAAGAACAGAGAAGGGAGTTCTGAAATCAGTGAATTGTCATTGATGGTGAGCAACCCCACCACCACTTAAAGGAGATGGAAAGTTTGTCAATTTCATGTACCATGTTCATAGAAATTCAACAAGGCAATAGAAGAGTACAAGTGAAAAGACCTCAGTTGGGGCAATTGAGTGGCTCAGTTGGTTAAAGCATCAGACTCTTGATTTCAGCTCAGGTCATGATGTCCCAGTTCATGAGCTCGAGCTCCACACCCAGCTCTGTGCTGACAACATGGAGCCTGCTTGGTATTCTCTCTCTCTCTCTCTCTCTCTCTCTCTCTCTCTCAAAATAAATAAAAAATAAACTTAAAAAAAAAAGAAGTGGAAAGACTTGAGTTCTAGCCAGGCCCTGTGACTCCCCCTGCAAAGTTTGACAAATTACTTACATAATTATAGATAATGTCTAAAACACATTACTTAAGTAATATATTAATGATTCTAAGAGATTCAGGTTTCTCATGTATGATTCAATTTCACCATGTAAAAGATGGTGCTAACAATAATCATGTTGCTTAATGAAATAACATATTTAAATGTTGCCATGAAAAAAGAAGTAATTTCTATTTCAGATTCTGTTTCTTCATCTCAGAAATTGAGTGTGAATTTCTCTAGGGTTTGTCCAATCACACATGACTGTAAGTGCTATGTAAAATTTGTGATATAAATACTATAATAGAACAAGATCAGATTTTCTACATACATTCACATCTTTGATAGAAGCAATAGGTGAAATTTTTTATTAATACAAGTGATCTTTTCAATAGCACATATATCAGAAACGGAATAAAATTTACCCTAAAGATAAGTGCAAGAAATGAGGAGAGGTACTTCTCTTTACAAAAGCATTATTTGTTTAGAAACTTAAAAAATTTTTTTCTAACATGTATTCAATTATGAGAGACAGAGAGAGAGAGAGAGACAAAGCATGAGTAGGGGAAGGGTAGAGAGAGAGGGAGACACAGAATCTGAAGCAGGCTCCAGGCTCTGAGCTGTCAGCACAGAGCCCAACACGGGGCTTGAACTCACGGACTGCCAGATCATGACCCGAGCTGAGGTCGAGCATTTAACGGACTGAGCCACCCAGGTGCCCCTTAAGATGTCAAACCATGGAATTTACATGAATATTTCCCTGGTGCAACAAAATGCAAATGGTTATATTTTAAGATAACCAATTTAATGGCAGTTTGTCAGAAGTATATGACAATATATATCAATTTCATCAAAGCAAGACAGCTGGGTATCCATGCAACACACATATGCAGAATATGTACCTGGGCATGTGTGTGTGTTCAAATAAGTAACAATGGGTGTTTCTTTTCTTATTTTGTGTGTAAGAAGGCTGTATGAAAAGTGTATCAGGAAAACAATGACCTCCTTAGCTCGAATTCACACCATTGCTGATCTCTGGGTGGGTGCCCTCTTCTCCCCCCCCCACCCCCCCACCCCAACCCCCGCAGCAGCTGCAGGGCTGAAATGGGAAAACCTGAACATCAGCAGTGTGTTCCCTCCATTCCTGTCCCCAGTGGGGCAGGCAGGAAATGCCAGCCTCCTCACAGGAAAGCCTGTTGTAGTGAGATTTCCCGATTTACTTTATAAATGCAAGAAGGCCAGATACAGGAGGAGATAAGCGCTCAAGATTGCAAATGCTTATCATCTCTCGGGGTTCTGGGCCCCACAGCCATGACCAGTTTCTTTTCTAGAGACGCAAGCCAAAATTCAGTTTGGTTCCAAATCGAAAAGCCTCCCCAGCTGGAAAATTTGACCATCCCCCCTTGTCAGCCCTTACAGGGAAACCATTTCAGAAAACTTGCTAAAGTTCTACTGTGAGTGAACTTGAAGAGAATCATCTAGGGGTTCAGTTAAAAAAAAAATGGAATAACTGGTTTCCCAAGCTAGTAGCTGAAGTCCTGGTAGCCATTTGACTCTTGTCTCAGCTGATCCATAAAATTTTCAGCGGGAACCCTCTTCCCTGGCTCTAATTTTTTACTGCCACTGCGCTTATATAAAGCGTTCAGCAGAATGAAAAGGATATAGGGATCTCAAAAGGACAAAACAGCTAGCTAGCTGAGTGGCTAGCTGAGTTAATAAAGGACATGCAGAACTAGCTCAATTTGAAGTCGCATGTGCTCTGGTAGCCACACAGGCCAACCCACCTTTGAGTCAGAACGTGGAGAAGGCAGTAGGGAAGATTGGAGTGGGGCATTCCACACTTACCTATTTCTTCAAGATCCGCTTTATCCTGTCCCTCCCATTCTAGTCCAAAACCATCACCAGAAGAAGCAGCAAGAAGGCTTCATAGAGTGTGAAATATAATTTCCTATTCTTTCCATTTCCACAATACCCAGTCACTCTGAAGCAATGAGAATTTCACAGTTGCTCAGTTCACCCCTGTGTCACTCACAAATCTGACCTTTTAAAAAGAGAAAATAAGGGGCGCCTGGGTGGCGCAGTCGGTTAAGCGTCCGACTTCAGCCAGGTCACGATCTCGCCGTCCGTGAGTTCGAGCCCCGCTTCAGGCTCTGGGCTGATGGCTCAGAGCCTGGAGCCTGGTTCCGATTCTGTGTCTCCCTCTCTCTCTGCCCCTCCCCCGTTCATTCTCTGTCTCTCTCTGTCCCAAAAATAAATAAACGTTGAAAAAAAAATTAAAAAAAAAAAAAGAGAGAAAATAAGATTTGGAAAAAACCTGTGTCCCCTTGCCCTCGACCAAAAATCGAGGAGACACCTTGCTTCACTAAGCCGGATTTAAAGACAGACACCCAGAAAATGAAAATATACCCTCTACTTTTGATCTCTTATCTAGGGAAAGCAGGTTCCCTCAGAGGAACTCACAAGGCAGTGAGTCCCCAGTGTTTATTGTATTAAGTGGGGGACATTGTTTTGTGTTCGGCTGTGACGTGCATCGAAGTAACGCTAAGTGACCATGCTCTCTCCAGGACCCCACTGTCCCCATCTATCAAAGTTGAGGGTCACTGAAAAAAACAATAATGACACATCAGACCAGTATTTGATCAGACAAGTATTTACACAGCGTCTTTTCCGTCTAGAGGTTGGAAGTACTTGGTCAAAAGCATCTCAATTCTCAAACGATTATCCTTAGACGTTAGTATCAGAGATATTATTGATCTCTCTCCTCACTCAAATACCTCCCACACCTCACCCCACTCCCACCCCCTCCATTAAAAAACACCGCAAGACCTTTGTGCCAAAAGTAACTAGTATTGGCCCTGCTCGACTTTTGTCTAAGGTTTTTTTTTTCTTTTTTCTTCTGTAAATTGGGGTTCTGAAGGCAAGAAGGGAAGAATGAAAATGGCATCTGTATTTCAGACGGCATTGCTCTCGTGTCTTCGGTGGCCAGAGTGGGCACACTTTTTCTTCTTTGGCGTTTTTCTCAACAGCGTCCCAAAGGGTTCGTTTCGTTTTCAGCTAAGACAATCATCGTCCACTTCAGAGTTACAGCGGACACACTGACTGTCCCACTCCATCCAATTATGCCTGGAAGCCTTTAAAGTCACCGATTCATTCTCCTTAAACTGTGGTGGTGACTCCTTCTACACATGACCCCGAACTTGATGCTTTCATTAATTCTGTTCTCTTTCCTCTTTTTATAGGGTTAAGTCCAAGTCGACAGAGCAAAGATAATACAGTCCTTGCAAACCTTTGCCTTCTCAGTGATATCACTCAGGTCCTTCTCATGACCCTTCCCCTGCAAATGAATGAATGAATTATTCCATTCAATCAGAAGACACTGAAGCCACACGGAAACCTTACTAGAGTTATTATGAAGGATGAATACCACAGTTTTTTCAACAGGAACAGGAGAAAGAATGTCTCCCAATAACCTACAAAATATGCATAACCATAGATGAGACTAGGAATAGGCTCTTTAGAATTATAAAAATTTAAGCTAGAGCAGGGCTCAGGGTTAGCTAATAAAATCAAATTAACTAATTGACATTCATGAAGAGATAACTTAAGGAGGAGAGAAACTTGCTAAGGGACGGGAGGGAAAGAATATAATGTATATAAAAGTCTTTGGTCTTAGGGCTCCTCTTTGCTTTAATGCTTGGTCTCATCCATTCTCCAGTGACCTCATCTCTTCATCTGCAGTCCTGGGAAGCTTTATATATGTCTAATCTGAAGCTAGAGGTGAGGGATGAATCTGTCAGCCTGGGAAAAGTCCTTCTTGCACCCAACCGGGTCACTGATCTCTCAATCCATTGATTCTCCGTCCTTGCTCTGAATGCTCTTTATTTTGCACCCCATGTTCCCCCATTCCAAGATCCCCTTTTACACTGAGAGTACGTGTGAATGGCAGCGTGTGTGTGTGCGTGTGTGTGTTGGTATATGATAGGAATCAAAGGCCTGACCAGCTCACACACATCTCAAAATCCAAAGTGCCCCCGTCGGCCAGCTCTTCTTAGGGGACCCTGTTCTACTCACTGCCTCCATTTCCTGGACTTATCTCCCTGAGCAGATTTCCCACTTCTTTCTCCTTGTAATTTCCAGGAGCTCAGTCTGGGTTTGCAGCCTGGCAAGGGCTATAAGAGGACACAAATAATGAGAGATAAGGAGCGTGACATCTCGTTGGCTACCCTTTAAAATCTGAAATTGCTTGCTAGAGGAGCAGGAAGCAACTTCCTTCCTTCCCGTCATTAAGAGCGAAAGGAATAGAAAATATAGAGGACATTGAAACTCAATGAGGTTTAAGCCATTTTGGGGGGTGGGGAGGGGAGGTGGAAAGAACCACAAAGACCAGAATATTGCTTTACACACAAGGCTACACATGGCCAGAAACATTGTGGATATGCAATAAATAGATATTTATCATCACAATGGGTTCCAGAAGAGTTGAGTAAAGTGTGTCAACCCTGTCAATTCTTTTACTTGCTTGGAGAAACCAAATCATGGCAAAATACCTAGTTCGCTAGGGCTGCCATAATAAAATACCAAAGTATTAGTGCCTTAAACAACAGAAATCTATTTCCTCACTGTTCTGGAGATTGGAAGTCCAAGATCAAGGTGCCAGCAGGTGTGTTTTCTCCTGAAGTTTCTCTCCTCGGTTTGCCATTGGTGGCCTTCTCACTGTGCCCACACAGGTTTCTTCTGTGTTCCACATTTCTGCGTACCAATCTCTTTATAAGGACCCCAGTCCTATCGGGTTAGGGTCCATCCATTTTACCTTATTTACCTCTTTAGAGGCTCTATCTCTAAATGCATTCACAGTCTGAATTACTGGTGGTAAGGGCTTTTGAGTATACATTTCAGGGGGGACACAATTCAGTTCATAACACTACTCATCAGGAGCAGAGCTAAAACTGGAACCCAAAGTTTCTGTCTAACCCTAGACCATTAATTTGCCTTTGATTCACATCCTTTCCCAGGTTAAACACTCTCACAGAATTATAGCATACTCTAATCAGAAGGCATCTCATGATGATCTAATGGTAGCTCTCTCATTAGCCAAATAAGGAAGCTGAGTACTAATTGGCATAGAACCTATGGTGGCACCACCCAGATAAAGTGCCCCCCACTTCCCCTGCTGGGAGCGTTTCTTGGATTCCAATCTCCCACCCTCCTAAACTCTGTACCAGGGTCACTTGCTAATGACCAGGCTCTGGATTACAAATCTATGACCCAAGGAAGCAGCCTGGTATGAGCTGGTGAGGCAGCAATAACTATGGAGCAAACCACCCCCCCCCCACACACACACACACAACCCTTTCCCTTTGGAAGCAGTTAGAGGGATAAGCTGGCTTTAATGAGTCTTCCTGCCCCTTTCCCTTCATTCTCTCCTCTCTTAGGCTCCTCCTTATGGCAGCTGTTACCAATTTCAGCAATTTCCTTCTGGCAAATTGAAGGCTCCAGGTGACAAAGGGAGTTGGCTGTATCTTCCCAGAGGATGAGATAGCCAGGGTTCTAATCGTACCCCACCTCCCTATTCCCAGACGGGTGGTTGGGGCTGCAGGCACTTCTCCCATTCGGCATCCTTAACCCGCCCTACCCCCTCACGTACACAAACACGGCAGGCTTCCAGGTCTATGTCCAGCTCTGAAACCCCAGTTGGAAGGGAATCCAGATCAGCTCATCTGTTTTTCCCAGGACCACCAAGATTTTATTATATGCATGATCCTTGGAGTGAATGCCCATTCTGGCTCTTAAAATTATAGGAAGAGGAAGAAATAGGACACATACCTGAGTGTGTGTGTGCACACACACAACCTGAAGAGTTGGGTACCAAACTAGGGGAGGACACCCCCGTCAGCTGACCATACCCATGGTACCTGGGCAGAGGGATGATCTCAGGATTCCTGGTTAAACCATGTATGTAAAAAGGAAGCCAACACATGAGCACTGATTTCATGCAACCCTGCAAGGCAGAAAATGAATTAGTATACTCAGGGGAACTGTCCCTGTCAGTTTGCCCTTAATAACAACAGGATGGTTTTGTTTTGTATGTTTCCTTTTCCCCTCTCTCCTTATTGTTCAGAAAGAAGAAATGTGGTTAAGTAATTGCCCCACTTCTCTGCCTGTCGATTTCAGTGTGGACACTGGTATCCTGCAATGAACAAAACAAACTCAATGCTTGCCTTCAGGAAGCTTACAATCGAGTGAAGAGAGGCAAACCTCAGATAGATAGGTCTACAAATAAGGACGTGATAGCACCTGTGACACATAAAGAAGGAAGAATTTAAAATCTGTGATAACAACTGTGAAATCTGGAGAAAGTACTCCAGTGATCTCTTACAAGTCCCCTCCAAGAAAAGAAGGGAGACTAGGGAGGTGAAAAGAAAATGACAAAAGACCAAGGCTGGAAAAACTTAACCTGGATGGTGAGGTATTAATTAGACAATTTGTTTAGTGCTCACCTCCTCTAATATAGCTGAAGCCCTCATTTTCAAAGTTCCAACTTCCCTGAAAAGAACCTCTGTTTAAAATGCACGACATCGGTACAGGATGCAGGAGCACCTTCTGTTTTATTTGTGGTTGCTTGGAATAGTGTTTGCTCCCTTTGGGAGGCAAGAGGATCTCTCCAAGAATCCCAGGAACAAAATTCTGGGGGCACTGGTTCTTGTACTTCAGTCCCCTCCCCTCCACAAGCCTGTCTTGTTTTCCTAAGCAATGGTCAGGAATGTGCTGGGAGGGGGCAGCCTGGCCATCAGCCCCCAGCCCAGGCAGCCCCAGTCACGGTCCCAGGCTGGCCTTTCACCTCATAGCTCTCCTGGCTGCTCCTAGTAAGCAGCAAAATGTTTCAATATGTTGAGCTTTGGGGGAGGGACGGAGAGAAAAATCGGGATATTGTTGAGAAGGAAATAATGAATAACCCTGCCGCCAGTCTTCATACCCCCCACGTGGGGAGATCTGGGTGATAAGTGTCCTTTCTCCAGAAATGGAATCCTAGCAATTGCTCTTGGTCAGAAATTTCCAGAGCCAGTTGAGGGGTAGGGAGTGGGGAGGCAGAGAAAAGGGAACAGGTACTGAATTAATTCTCTCAGTGTCCAGAACCAAAACAGTCAGGGGTCTAGGCACCCGAGAAAGAACAAAGCTTGAGCAACTGAGGCTAATTCTGGGAGGTACACAAAGCTGTGGTTTTGCTCTTACAAACTGACACACTCTCTACCTTTACCTGTCACCGCCCCCCCCCCTTCTCCCTCCCAAGTTCATCTGCTCTGGTCTTTGCCAAGTGTTCTGGGGGGGGGGGGGGGTGGGGAGCTGGTGCTGAAGCTCCTGGTTACTGGAGCCTCAGAAGCAGCTCCAGGGTGTGAAAACCACTCCCAGGGAGGGAGCAACACTGGCAACTCCTCTCGAGGCCGAGGCCGGGCTGTTTTGCGGAGAATGGCCCTGGATTGGGCAACTAAAAGAGTGAATGTGAGCACAGACTCGGCAATCGGAGCCCCATTCAAGGCCACGTCTTAGAGTGAAGCAATGAGCAACATTCCAAAATTTAAAAAAAAAAAAAAAGAAAGAAAGAAAAGAAAAACACACCACAAATTCGAGGACCCAGAAATTCCTCCTTAGCGAGGGTGTTGTTAAATGTTGTGGTTTTGAAATTAAAAGTCCATAATAGGGTTGTTTCCCTGACATTTGCAAATCACCTTGCTCTTATAGATGCTGCCTGGAAAATGTGGATCAGAAAAAGATGTATTCAGGGGAGGTCCACATAAAGGGAAAGGTAACCTTTAAGTAAGCCAAACTTCAGGGCTTGAAAAATCAAAGAGGACCTCATTCATATTATGTAAGTCCTAGGAATAATTATTTGTATAGCGATCATTTAAAAAGTAAATAATCAAATGAAAGGAGGCCTGGGTCCCGACGTCTCCTCTTGGCTTTACGTTTGCGATATGTGTGTGGTTTCTAGTGTTCCTTGACATTTCCTAGCAACACCCGGAGGTTTCTGGAAAAGCAGCTAGGGGCACACGGGTGGCTGTCTATTAGAACAATTCATCAGACAGCAGTTGAAATATTGATAAGAAAACGGAAATCAAATTAAAAGACGGGAAAAGAGAGAGGAAGGGGGAGTGGGACGAAGAGAGCCAGAGAGAGGCAGCAGAGAGGAAAGCGGCAGGGCGCACAGACAGAGGAGCTCAGCGGTTCCTGCGGGGGCCCCCCAGCTCCTGCTGGGACCCAGGCTGGCGGTCTGGATACACTGCAAAGAAAGGTGCAGCTTGACTCCGGGCAGCCTGCAGGTTTAATTCGGCACCACCAAGGATCTCGGGGGCTCTGGTAGCAGAGAATTAGCACTCAGAGCTCAGACATCCTGGAGTTTCAGGAGTTCGGCTGCCGCTGGCCAAACAGACGAGGGTGTCTAAGGTGAGTGTTCATGTAGGGGGGATCTCTGAGGGGACTTAGGGTGGTGGCGCCTCTCCCTGCTCCAGCTGCAGTAGGGAAATGGGAGGCTTTCTGGGACTCTTTCTTTCTCTCATTCTCTGGAGGGGGGGCTTTCTTTTCTCTCCTTCCCACCCCCCCCCACTTTCCTTGCAAATTTCACTCTAAGTTGCAAAGAAAATTGGGGACACTCCCGGGGAGAGGACAGAGGCAGGGAAGAGGTATTTAAGGGCCCAAAGGAACATACCTGGTCCCTGAACTCGTGTGCGTGTGTGTTGTGGCTTCAGGAGCCAAAAGCTGGAATCTGTTAGTGGGGAGAAAAGTGCTTTATCAGAAACACATTGGCTGCCGGAGAAGCTGCAGGCTGCCACGTTAAAGACGGTTTAAGAGAAGGAAGGCAAGAGGGCCAGACTTGGCAAGGCAGGGAGAGACTCACCCAGAGGCACCTGGCATCTAGGGTGGTTTTTGCACCCGCTAGCCCAAATATTCAGACTTCACACACCATCTCCCCCCCCCACTAGAAATGCGGCTGCGTCATTCACTATCTTGGTCTCTGCCCTCAAAACTCTTTTAAGGAGCCGGGGCTGGGGAAAGGGCCTCCCTAGATCTCCAGGACCTTCAGCTAGTCGTCCTCCCCAAGCGGTCCACTAGCAGGGAAGAGGGGGGGCAGCTGGCCACTGGTGGAGTCCTGAGGTGGTTGGGGAGGCAGGCTGAAGATCTGTGCCCTGAGGACCCAAGCTTGGCAGTTCTGTAAATATCTGCTCCCTGGGGCTTTGGGCTGCATTGGTGGGGAGACCTACTCCTACCAGGGCAGGGTTCTCTCTTCCGGCTCAGAGGGGCCCCTGTGTCCCTAGGTGTGGAACTACCCAGGCCCGGGGTCAGGGTGGGGATGGGTGGTCTCATCTGTGGATAGAGGAGGGTTACAGGACTGCAAGGAAAAACCACAGGTCGTCTTGAGCCGGCTCTCAACCTTCGCCATCCCTCAGCCTGAAGTCGGGAGGCAGGGACGCAGAACTGGCTCCCAGTACCTGACCACGGGGATCCTCCCTTTCTGGCCTGGGCGATCAGAGCCATCCAGCCTCCTTCCCCAACCACCTCCCCCCTCACCCGCCACCGTCTCACCCATGTTGTACTCTCGGGTGACTGAGGTTTCTCCCACCCAGGTTGGTTCTTGGGCCTTCCTGACCCTTCCTCACCAACGGAGGATGTTTCAGACAGTCCCCGACACGTCGTCTTACGTCAAGGTAAGACATGACAGCGTCTTTAAACAGGTAATGACCCCCAGCCCCTCTGCCACCGGGCCTGTGGTCGCTCCCCGCTTTCCCCGGGAAAAGGGGTGGAGGGTTCAGCGGGTGGATCTGGAGCCTGGGGCGCTCCCGACCACCCTAGGGTGGCACAGACCCTCAGGAATCCTTGGCTGGGGAGGAACGCTCTCGGTAGGCACTGATCGGGAGACTGGAAGTGGGTGAGCGCGATGAGGTTGGGCAGGGAAAGCCGAGACGCCAGTCGGCGGACCTGCGAGCCAGCATCGGGTCCCAGTGGGTCCTGCGCCCGCGCCGCTGGCGCACAACAGGTTTCAAAGTAAGGGTCTGCGCGTACTGGGGAGCGTGCACGTGAGCCTCTGGGCGTGTGTACGCGGCTGTGTGAACGCGACGCGCTTCTCCCACCGGCTCGACACCCCGTCTGTCCTGAAGCCCACCTCTCTTGGCCCCACCCGCCCTCCAAAGAGCAGACTGCTACATTTGACAGAATATAAAACTTTTTTTCCCACTCACAACAGTTCCCAAGAATGTAAACAAACCGAGGCCAGGACATCTGGGTTGCACGTTTAAATGAAAACGCGCCAGCGGGGCGGGGCTGAGGGTGCCCGGGGTTGGGACCCAGGCGCGACCTCCTTCCTTCCGGGTAGCAGCCCCGAGCCGGGGCCAGCCGGAGTCCGGAGTCCCAGGTCGGAGGAGGAAGGGCCCACCGCGGTTCTGAAAACCTACCCCTCGGGTCCCGGCCCCGCCCCCTTCTCCCTGAAACTCCGCCCCTGAGGTCCCCACCCCCACCTGCGTGCCCACGCTGAGCTCCCTCCGGCACCCGGGAATGCCACCGCAGTGTGGGTCAGTCTGCCGGCCCCTGGCCACCTCGATGGGGTGCGACCCTGGGGGAGCGCCACTTTAGCGTCCAGCCCTCCTCCCATTTCTCTAAAGGGAAATTTGTTGACACGAGGTACTCGTGTCCCGACTCCCACCCCTTCCCGAGGTCTAAAGGAGTTTTATAGTCACTTGAAGGAGGCCGGGTCCCAGAGCCTTGGCGGAGAAGAGGTGTTTAATCTGTGATGAATGAATGAAAAATAAGTGACTCCATGTATCGACAATCAATGAATAGATGGCTGGACCGATGGCCCCCAGGAAGTGGCAGGGCGTACACCGGGAGGCTTTAAAGCGCGCCGGGGTTCGTTAAGTCCAGTTTTCCGGAGAGGTTAGGCAGGCTGTGACCCCTCCCACCCCCGCCACGCCCAGTTCCAGAAGCTTAGGGAGTTCTCACTTCCAGCCCGGCCCCAAAGACAGCAAGTGCCCTCCCCCCCCACCCCCGCCCCCAGCCACCCCTCCACCCCGGTCTGCACACACCCGGGGATCCAAAACCTCAGGGATGACAAAGCCTAGAGGGGCAAGTGGGAGCCCAGGAGACTGACCCGGGCCCCGAGTCAGAGAGAAAGCAAACCGGCTCAGGAGAGCGGAGCGGTCTGGAGTGGGGAGCAGGGAGAGAGGATGCAGTCCAGGAGCTGTGGGCAGCCAAAGGAGCCGCTCGCCGCAGGAGCTCTTTTCAAGGGGGAAAAATGGATTTTTCAGCAGCCACAAAGTTTGTATTGTTGCACAAAGGGGTGCATTGACGGCGGCGAAAGGTCTGCGTGGCAGGGACAATCTTGGGTCTGTTCCGCCGGCTCCCTACATCGACCATTTGCCAGAGGGGCACAAACAGTCCCAGGCTGCCAAGCCCCTGCCATTGCGCGTCAGGCACCCGGCTCCGAGGTTGTTGACAAACACTGAGAGCCCAGGCGCCCAGGCCCAGGGCCTGAAGCCGAGCCGGGCGCAGCAGTCAAGGGCACCCCGTCCACCCGGCAGCGATCTGGGCTCTGAGAACCCCCCAGAGTGCCCAGGGGGTTATGCGCAGGACAACCCTTAGAGTGGGGATGAGGCTGGAAAGAGCAAGGGGCAGGGAGCGAAGGAACACGAGTGACTCTTTAAGGCCATAACATGCAGTAAGTGAATAATGGTGGTACCATTAAGGTACCCCTTACATTTGCCAGGTCCTGTCCTAAGCATTGCATTTATACTAACTCCTTTAATATTAATACCAACCCGAGGAGGTAATCCATTTTGCAGATGAGAAACCGAGGTATTGAGAGGTTAACGGAACGGAACGCAGCTTGTAAGGGGTGGAGCTAAGGACAGAACTGTGCTGACCGCCAGGGGTAGGTCCTATTATAACACCACTGTACAGATGAAGGCACTGAGGCACAAAGAGGTTAAGGAGCTTGCTCAAACCCACAGAGCTGGTAAGTGCGGAGCCAGAATTCAAACCTAGGAGCCTGGCCCCCCAGCGAGGCTTTCAACCTGGACGTCCCAACTTGCAGCTACGGGGTGGAGCACGCAGGAGACCCAAGAGGAATCCTGGTCCCGTGCTATGCAAATCGCAGTCGATCCCGGTGCGAGGGGCACAACTCGGAAGGTCCCTCGCCCGCCCCACCAGACGGTCAGGGTCCTCCACTTCCCCCCTTAGCGAACCTGCCCTACTCCTTACACTCACTCCCTCACCACCTACCCTGCTGGTTCAGCCCCTGCTGCATGCTGGAGGAGACACCAGCATGCACACCACGCGCCAGACCAAAGGAGGCTTAGAGCCCCAGAATGTTCACCGCCACACGGCCCAGGGGCAGCATCTGGCCAACAGGTCCTGCAGAGGGGCTGCAAGGACACAGGTCTGTACTTAGAATAAATGCCGTGCGGGGCGGCCGGGAGGCAGGAAGGACGGAGATTGGAGGGGATGAAATTCTCCCTTCCCCTCTCCCCCCCCACCCCCCGCCCCCACCCCAAGCCCCAGTCTAGGCGCCGCCGCTGGGTGAGAGTCCCGGCACCTGGCTGGTCTCCACCTCTTGTCAGCCT